CGGCGGCCACGGCGGTCGCGACGCGGGCCCGGCCGGCCGCTCTGCCGGCCGGGTGCGGGGGGGGCGGCAGCGCCGGCCGGCGCGGGCGGATCCGCGGACGGGACGGCGGACGATCCGGCGGCGCGTACCCGCGGACGATCCGGCGCACGGGGCGGCCGAAACGGCGGATGAGACGACGGCCGATACGGCAGCGCGCGTATACGACAAACGAGACGGTACCAGTTTACTAAACAAAGGTCAGAAATACACAAGTTAATATGTATGATTCAATTAACATTGGTCGAGCAACGACCATACTACGTCAAATGCACCGGTTCTCGTCCGATCACCGAAGTTAAGTGGCGTCAGGCGCGGGTAGTACTTGGATGGGAGACCACTTGGGAACTCCGCGTGTCGTTGTTCTTTTTGACATAGTTTTATCATCTTGCACTAATGGTGTAATGCAGATGATTTGCTCGAAAACGTTTCATTTCGTTCGGTTTCCGACGCGTCCAATTGGAAAAATTTGCCTAAGTTGCGACGCGTCCGAGAGGTGCGGTCGGGTCGCACGATTGGCGTTTTGCTCTTGCACGATTGGCGTTTTGCGGTTTTTGGTCGAAAATTTGTCTAAGTCCCGATGCGTCCGAGAGGTGCGGTCGGGTCGCACGATTGGCGTTTTGCTCTTGCACGATTGGCGTTTTGCGATTTTTGGTCGAAAATTTGTCTAAGTTCCGACGCGTCCGAAAGGTGCGGTCGGGTCGCACGATTGGCGTTTTGCTCTTGCACGATTGGCGTTTTGCGATTTTTGGTCGAAAATTTGTCTAAGTTCCGACGCGTCCGAGAGGTGCGGTCGGGTCGCACGATTGGCGTTTTGCTCTTGCACGATTGGCGTTTTGCGATTTTTGGTCGAAAATTTTTCTAAGTCCCGACGCGTCCGAGAGGTGCGGTCGGGTCGCACGATTGGCGTTTTGCTCTTGCACGATTGGCGTATTGAAATTTTGGTCGAAAATTTTTCTAAGTCCCGACGTGTGGAGACGAAAATTTTTAAAAGTTTGCAAACTTCCAAATCGAAGTCGCAACGTCAATAGTTAATGAAAAACGGCATTTTGCACATTTCATTTGTTAGCAAAAACGTGCGGTTCGGTCGACCCGCACGATTGGCGTAT